CTTTATTTAAAAAAAGTAGTTTGTTTGTATAAAAATAAACTATTTACACAGTTAACAATACATACATACATATATACATATATATATATATATATATATATATATATATATATATATATATATATATATATATATATATATATATATATATATAACAGCTAATGGGCTATACATTTCTACTACATATGAAACCATAGATTTCAAATACAATTGTTAAGTTTTATGATACTGTGATTAGCCAAATTATATCCCTTACAAAATAAAGATGTATGGATAAAGTGTCTAGTAACAAATGTACAAAGTATCTAAATCCACATCTGCTTTTATATTACTGAATGTGGACAATGTTCTACAGTAAAATTACTTATACTTTCTCTGGTGACTGCCCTTGACAGTTATCAGGCTTTTGTTTTGCATGTATTCTCAGGTGTTTCTGTAGATGATGTTTCTGAGAAAATGATTTATTACAAACAACACATTTATGTGTTTTTTCATTTGTATGTTTCTTCATGTGTACTTCTAAAGTACTTTTATGAGAAAATTTTGATTACATTTTTCACAACAATAATACTTTTCTGTTGTATGTACTCCCATGTGCTTTTCTAGCTGATGTTTTTGAGAGAATGCTTTGCTGCAGTGAACACATTTATATGGTTTTTCCTTTGTATGTATTCTCATATGCACCATCAGAGTACTTTTGTGAGAAAAGGTTTTGCTACATTCTTCACACTGAATAGGCTTTTCATTGGTATGTATTCCCTCATGTTTCTGAAGATGATGTTTTTGAGTGAAGGCTTTGCTACACAAAGTACATTTATAAGGCTTTTCCTTTGTGTGTACTCTCATGTGTACTATTAGACTGTCTTTACGAAAAAAATTCTTATTGCATTCCTTACACCTAACATGTCTTTCCGTTGTATGAACTCCTATATGCTTTTCAACATACTGTTTGTGAGAGAATGCTTTGTTACACACATCACATTTAAAGGGCTTCTCCTTTGTATGCACTCTCATGTGACTCTTTAGATTGGATACCCTAAAGAAGGCTTTGTTACATATCTCACAGATATAAGACTTCTCTTTTGTATGCATGCTCATGTGTGACCTTAAACTATTTCTCCCTTTTAATACTTTACTAAGATCACAAGTATAAAGTTTCTTATCATGGCTCTATCCATGAAATTTCTCCTTTGCAGGTATTCCCATGTGTAGAGCTAGATCACTGTTACTCAAGACGGCCTTACTACATGCATCACACATACAAGGATTGACATTGATATACATTGGATTGTGATTTAATAGATGATTTTTGCAAGCAAATTTTCTACTACATACTTTACATACACAGTATTTCCCATTCATATGAAGTATTTCATGCATTACCTCTTTATCATAATTCTCATGTGTTGATTGAACTCCATCTGTTAAGCCACTGCTTCTACAATCTTCAGCCAAAAAGGGCATCTCTGATAAAGAACAGTTATATGCATACATTAGATTATATGCCCCAGTTTCATTTCCTTCCCCTTCAGGATTCTCATAAAATGTACACTCATGTTTTATGTCTACATCTGTCTCCTCATTTTTGCAATCAAAGCTTTCTTCTTTTATTTCTAAATAACTCTCTTCAAAATCTTCCTTTTCCTCTTCCTTAATATTAATTTCTGGACTATAACTTTCTTCATCTACATTGGAGGCAAAAGGCATCCACTCAGTGAGAAAACTCATTCTGGGTCTGTGAATAAGAAAAATCAATGTAATAATGTAATTTAATAATAATAAAAAAAGTAAATACAATTAATAAAAACAATTATAATGTCCAAGAAAATGGAAATAATTTTTCTAGCATAAACGTGTGTGTGTGCATATATAAAACATATATGATAATAATATGTATGTATGTATGTACGTACGTATGTATATATATATATATATATATATATATATATATTTATAGAATATATATGTGTGTGTGTATAGATATATGTGTGTGTGTGTGTGTGTGTGTGTGTGTGTGTGTGTGTGTGTGTGTGTGTGTGTGTGTGTGTGTGTGTGTGTGTGTGCATGCGTATGTGTGTGTTTTCATTGAAAGGTACCAATTTCTCATGGCTTGAAAATGTAACATGATCTTCTCAGACATGGTTCCAATCACATGACTTCCAACTGGTGGCAATGCATTATTACCTGCATTTATGGGTTCATGTTTGAATATGTTATAACATGTTTAGGTGCACTAAAATCAAAATCCTTCTATATGTGTTTTAGTTATGGACTTTCTCCACTAACTTTTTGAAGCCCCCTCATATATGTGTGTATGTGTATATATATGTATATATATATATATATGTATATATATATATATATATATATATATATATATACATATATACATATATATTTATATATATATATGTATATATATATGCTATATGGAAATATCATTTTCACTATTAACCTAATGCTGACAGGCATGGTATGTACATACATGTGAGTTTACTTGTTTAATTGTTTTTACACACAGATGGCTGCACTTGCACTAAGTTAGCAGTGAGCCAATTACGAGTACTGCCTGTCTCATCCATTCATCTATTTTCTTTATTTACGAAAATACTTTAGGTTATCTTATCTTGCTGTTACTAATGTTTATAACATTATAGTAATTATAATATTTATGATAAAAGTAACACCATCAATACTTATAGCGTTAGTAAAAAATATGTTTTTCCTGCCAATTTAAGGAAAGGTGAAATCAGGTAAGGTCACAAGATCTACTAATTGACTCCTTTGTGGCTAAGCACTAGCAGAGCCATCTATGTGCAGAGACATTTCATAAAAATATAAAAATGGAGCACAGCATTTTCCCCATTTTTTATTCATCTTCCCTGGTGGCACTGGCTTAAGCTAAACAGAAACTGAACTGTTCTATCCTTGTAGATATAATTGTTTTCATTGGTGGTATTGCAGAATATTATAATACAATCACAAAGTTTACATTAAATGCTTCTATTTATGGTTGGTTAGAAAAATCATGAAATACAAATATGATGAACACAAGCCTTTATCAAACCTAACAAAGACAGTATAACAGAACATTCATTTGCTGATAGAATTTTATCACTATAAACAGTTTCTGTGATCAATACATAGAGTAATGTAATTGTGAATCGATATTGTGAACTGACATTTCAGCTTTCTTAAAATTACCTTAAAAATACTTGTTTTTCTTACACTGATTTCTGAAATCCCTCTCAAGGTGAGCAGCTAACCATATTGGCAGAATATAAAAATAAGTGAAAAAATGTCTTTAGCTAGTAACAACAATCAACAATAGCAAATCATCATTGATAATTATCAGTTGGTAAAACAAATTATTTGTATTGATAAATAATTATAACTTGTAATGAAAGGGCAAAGTTATATATACACACCCTAATGGAAACAATGGAGCATATTGCTATACGAACAGGAAGATATAAGAAAATTGAATAGCACACTGAAGAAAAACCCAAAATTGAGAAAAAATAGAGAAGAATGATAAAGACTACACTCCTGGGGCATATAATCAACAATCCTTGGGACAAAAAGTAGCCTGGGCAGCTATGGAACCCTTTAGTAATGCCTTGTTGCAAAAGGCAGGGGGGAGCTATTGTGAACATTCAAGACTACTTATGGTTCATGATATAGGAGTTCAAAGTCAATAACACTTTAGTGGTCCTATATATTAAAACATGAGTTTTCAACCTTCATCAAAAATACTTCCATGAAAATTCATATGTAAGTTTTCATTGATAACTGTAATGGTTGAATTTTGTACATTTTTTCCCCTATTGCAGGGGCAGATGCCAGTGCTGAAAAATGATTTTCACTACAATTTCTCCCTACACCTTTAAACGTATGAACACAGTCCTCACACCATATTAACCCCAAAACAACAGGCATGGCATGTATGTATATTCCATGTCCATTCTGAGTTTACTTTATTGTCTTTACACATAACTGGCTCCACTTGTACTAAGTCACCAATCAGCTGATTATGACGACTGCTTATCTCACCTGTTTACCATTTTCCTTGATTTTCATAAATATTTTATGTCTTCTTATATTGCCACAACTAATGTCAATAACATTATAGTAATCATGTCTATAATAAAAATAACACCATAAATACAGATAGCATTAGTAAAAAATAACATTTTTCCTGCAAACTCAAGGAAAGGTGAAATCAGGTAAGGACACAAGGGTCTATTAATTGACTTATTTGTGGCTAAGCACTAGCAGAGCCATCTATGTGAAGAGACATTAACCCATTGCCGCAGGGGAAAATGAACAAAAAATGGGGAAAATGCAGTACTCATTTTTTATATATTTGTGAAATATCTGTCCACAGATGGCTCTGTTAGTCCTGATTTCACCTTTCCTTGAATTGGCGGGAAAAAACGTATTCTTGCAAGTGCTATAAATATGGATGGTGTTATTTCTAATAGCAAATTAGGATAGCGTTAAATATTTTCGTAAATTGATGAAAAGTGTGAACAGGCAAGACAGGCAGTACTTGTAATTGGCTCACTGGTGACTTAGTACAAGTGTAGCCATCTATGTGTAAAAACAATCGAACCAGTCGACTCACAGTGAGCATGGCATGTACGTACATGCCATCCCCGGCGGCAATGGCATTTATCCGGCAACATTAGGTTAATTTCATCCCTGTTGAGCAATCATTAAAGAAATAGTAGCCTATTGACTTATTTGTATGATTTCCAAAAGGGGTGAAAAGGTTATAAATGAAACAGTCATAGAATGGGTTTACTAGGCTAAAGTTAACATGTATGTAGTTATTGTAACTCCGGGTATAAATATTATAACAACAACCCATTAAATAAAGTATTTTTTTTTTTTTTTTTTTTTTTTTTTTTTTTTTTTTTCCAACCAGCCTCCTCACCCTTAAGAAACATTATGCTGATGATTATGAGCTAAGAATAATTAAAAGACAATATCAGACTGTTCTTTTATTTTATGAAATGCATCACATTCTTTCAAGGTTTATAAACACAACCACAAATATAAAAATGATACAAGATTTTGTACATTTGTATGAGTATTTTCTGTATATAGATTTCCTCACAAAATTTTATGTTTTTCCTTAGTGGCTAAATATAACAACCTTCAAGTAATTTTTTTCAAAATACAATCAAACATTTATATAGTAAGTCATTTCCAACTAATAAGTAATTTAGAAATTGTGTAAAAGCACCAAACTAATTTCTTGTGTTGGGTATTATTTACATATTTTACATAGAATAGATAATGTATAGACATTCACATATTGGTAAATAAAAAAATAAAAACAACAATATAATTAAAAAGTTTAGTATATTTCTTTTATATATGAGACAACAATTTTGTTTATTGTTTTGCCATTTTCAGCGATCTATTATGCAGTGGATTTAGCTGCCATGCTGATATTACCAAAGACACTGCATTTAAATCCAGATGCATAAGTGATTTAATATTAACCTTGTAATTTCTTTCTTCCATAACTGATTATATGGAGTGGAAAGACACGTGATTTGAAGTTGATTCACCTACCAACAAAAGAAAGAGTTGGGGAAGATGCTCCCCACTTATCAGCACTTCTCAAGGCATGACACCAAGAACAAAGCCAGTCTCAGTGACAAATGAGGAGGATAACTGGATCTGGAAAATGTGTCGTTTGTGACCAGCAGCTGCAGCAAGTATTGCTGGTTACTCTACAGGCATACCTATTGTGCAAGATCACCTCCAGCCTCGCATTCTGCTGGAAAGTATTGAATACTAGAAAGAATATACTCCTATGGAATGGTTTGTTGTGTTATAGTGATGCTTAACTGTAACCATTTGTGTTTAAACATATTTACTAGGACTATGCTCTTGTGTTTCTTCACATTCACCATCATATGCTTAGCTTAAAATGTTAAATAATGCATGTTAAGATGTGCCACTAGCATTCCGTCAATCACAAAAGTTCAGATGGCAGAATTCACTCTGAAAAATACTGATAAACATTCTTCATTCTTTGTTCATTATTTGTGATTGTAAACAATATATGCATCATCTGGTAGGCATACCACCTCTCAGTACTGTAGCATATGTATGCTACATGAAGAATAAAATGTGGTGCTACTAAATGCCAAATGGAAGGTGAAGAAAGGTAGGATACTGTTTGTAGCTGGCTGTTCCATGGGTTAATGAAGAGCAAATTGAGAGCAGACTAGAGCACATACACAAATGATAATGGGTTCAAAGGGAAGCATCTGAGAACAATGTTGTGAACTAAAGTGCAGTTTCTACCTCTCTGGTGATACGTTCTGAGATGATCTCAGAGAATGGAACTTTTTGCTTTGGCTAGTTATTACTATTTCAAAGAGCAAGCAAGTAAATTATTTATAACTGCTTCATTATTCATTTAAAACATTGGCTAATAAAATAATGAATTATATATATGATGCACATGATGTATATCATACAGTACAACTCCCCCAAAATTTATGTCACTTATGCAACTTATTATCTGCCCTATTTCTGGAAGACAATTATCTTTGCATTATTTATCACATGAATAGATATGTATACACTTAGAACTCAAACAATAGTGATTTTCAAATGATTGATTCTAGTAATATTCCTCCATCAATTCTGAAATGCAAACATCACAACAAGAAGTAAAAAATAAATAAATAAAATAAAATAAAAAATTAGTTATGTACTCTTCTCATGTGCTTCTTTAAATTGCTGCTTCCAGAGAATGTCCTACTACATACCTTGCAAGAATAAGGTTTTTCATTTGTATGGACTCTCATGTGATCCTTTATTGTACGTTTTCTGGGGAAAGCTTTGCCACAGATCTCACAGGTAAAAGGTTTCTCTTTTGTATGAATTCTCACATGGGCCACTAAATTACTTCTTATGGTGAATCCTTTACTACAAATCTCACATTTATATGGCCTCTCTTTTGTATGTATTCTCATATGTACAACAAGAGCATATTTAGAAGATAATGTTTTACTACATATCTCACAGCTGAATGGTTTCTCTTCTGAATGTGATCTTACATGTTCCATTAGATCTTGTCTCGCAGTAAAATCCTTACTACAAAATTCACATCTATAGTGAGTCTCTTTTGTATGCACTTTCATATGTGCAACAAGAGCATGTTTCACAGAAAATGCTTTATTACATATTTCACACTTATGAGGCTTCTCATTTGTATGTGTTCTCATGTGACATACTAGAGTCCAATGCTGGGAGAATGCTTTCTCACAAACTTCACATTTATAAGGCTTATGTTTTGTATGCACTACCACATGCTTTGCTAAATGACTTCTCCGTGAGAATGCCCGACTACAGAGATTGCAACTATAAGATTTCTCTTTAGAAAGTAAGTTCACACGCCCTATTATATGATCTTCCTTTGAAACTTCCTTGCTATTGACCTCACAGGTATTTGGTTTGTCCTCTGTGTGC